GAGGATTTCTTATCTAGGAGTTGTTATGACAGGGTATATGCCTTAGAGGTCTACTTGGATAAACAATTAACACACAAAATTGTTTTATAAACAACACAGCACAATACTATCACTACTTCCACTACTACTATTCAGAGTGGCAGTAGAATCATAATTACATAGGGCTAGACACATTCTTGTACAATATTTGTGAACTCTATTATTTAAAGATAAAAGAGGCTTAGGGTTTCTAGTAATCCATCAAATGAAGATAACTGGATCATTTATTGTGATGACCAATATCATGGAGGGGTGGAGATGTTATGTTTTTCAAGAATGAAGATGTCATTATTTATTCACCTATTTTATTTATATATTTATATTTTGGTTTTCAGGGCTGGGGATCCAACCCAGGGCTATACTCATGCTAGGTAAGCATTCCACCACAGAGCTACACCTCCAGCCCTATTCACTATTAATGGACATAAATTCTAAGATGCTTTCCTACATTGGCGGTAAATTTGTGCTGACCTATATCACTGTCTTGCCAAGATTTTCTCATCAGGGAAATATTTGTGTGACAGATGAGGCATCTGAAATTTATCTCTCATTAACCAGAAGTAGGTCACCGGGGCTCCTCTACATGGAGGATATTGTCTACGAAGGTCAGGGTTGTGTTTCGGGTTGGGCCAGCCACCCAACAATGTCAGCTCCCCCGTCCCTTCCCTCATGCTTTCCTAGCCTCAAACTTGGCGACGTCTTATGATAGGGAGAAGAATAGAGATGGTTTGAGGCATATATGAAAGGAAAAGAGCTTATTTTACTAAAAACCTAATAATCAGATTATACTTACGAAAGTTTGATAGTTCGAAAAACAAAAATGAAATAATTTACACTGTTTGATTTTAAGACAGTAAAATGCTAGAGTAATAAAAAAATAGTGGTATTAATGAGGAGAGACATATAGATACAGACTAATGAAACAGAACAGAAAGTATAAAATAGATTCATATGTATATGTATATGATTGAGTGATTATCAAGATGACAATATCATTTAATTGAGGAAAGATGGTCTTTTTAAACAAATGGTACCAGAGTAGTTGGATTTCCATAGGGGGAAAAATGAACTATATCTGTCGTTTGGATCTTATAAGTCCTCCAGAGACCCATGTATTGAAGGCTTGTCCTAAACAAAGCATTACTAAGAGGTGGTAGAAACTTCCAATCATTGGAGGGGGCGTTGGGGAGGTCGGAGAATGTCCTTGAGGTGAACAGTGGAAGCCCAGCCCCTTTTCCTCTCTCTTTCTCACATCCTGATCATGAAGTGAGTGGTTTTGTTCCATAACATGCTCCTGCCACAGGCACCCACCACAGGCCCAAGGCAACAGGGCCAACTGATTACGGACTGAAACCTCTAAAACTGTGAGCCAAAATAAATTTTTTATTTTTATAAGTTGATTATCTCCGGTATTTTTATAGTGAACAAAAACTGACTAACACACCATACACACCATATACAAATTTAGCTTAATATGAAAACTAAAACTTTTAGAAGAGAATAGAGAATACCTTTGTGATCTTGGACTAGGCAAGGATTTCTTAGAGTACACACAAACAACAGACAATTAAAGAAACAAATTATTAAATCAGACTCCATCAAAACTTAAAATTTTTGATCTTTGAGAAAATAAAAAGGGAAGACACAGAAACTTTGAATTTCCTTTCTTTTTTAATATTTTTTTTAGTTGTTGATGAACCTTTATTGTATTCATTTATTTATATGCAGTGCTGAGAATTGAACCTAGTGCCTCGCACATGCTAGGCAAGTGCTTTACCACTGAGCCACAACCCCAGCCCCCTGGATTTCCTTTCTTTTTTTTTTAATTTTTTTTAATATTTAATTATTTATTTATTTGGTGGACACAACATCTTTGTTTGTATGTGGTGCTGAGGATCGAACCCGGGCCGCACGCATACCAGGCGAGCGCTCTACCACTTGAGCCACATCCCCAGCCCCTGGATTTCCTTTCTTGATGGTGACCTGAGGATATCATGGCAGATGATAGACAGGGTATCAATGAAATGATGGCCAACTGCTTAGACCATCCCAAACATGACCTATTTTTGATGCCTTGGTGGTATTCCTGTTCAACCACAAAAATAGTTATGAAGTCTATGACCAGGCACATGATGCACAGAGAACAAAATAAGCTGAAAGTGAACAGGCAATTGACTGGCATGAAGAGAGGAATGTGCATGACTCATTTTATGGGACTCAGTCTTGATTCCAAAACCAAATGATGATGAGTCAAGGGGCAAAAAGATTATAGGCCATTTTATTTATGAATCTAAATAAAATATAAGCTATCTAAATCCAAGTGTGTATTTAATAATTAATTTGCCATGATCAAGCTGGAGTTATCTTGTGAATGTACGAATAATTTAACATCAGAAAAAAAAAAGAGCAATTTGCCACATTCGTAGATTGAAGGAGAAATATTATACAATTATCTAAATCAATGCACAAAAATGCATTTGATAACGTTCGACATCTGTTTATGTTTTAAATAATTAGTAACTAAGAAGAGCTGACAGGCTGGGGATGTAGCTTAGTGGTAGAGCACTTGCCTATCATGTGTGAGGCCCTGGGTTCAGTGTCCTGTATTAGTTTAAAAAAAGGAAGAAAGAAGGCCTGACAACTTCCTCAAGGGTTATATACCCACTAACAGCAACACTTAATGGATGCATTGCCTTTAAGCTCAAGAACTAGAAAAAAAATGCCTTCTGTTTCCATTTAACATAGTCCTGCTCCTTCACATGTTGAAGTATAACATTAGAAAAGCACGCTGAGGCAGGCATATAAAGCAGGGTTTATTTTATAAGGGAAAACATAGACTTCTCCCAGGAGGGAGAAGGAGGCCATAGCTGGTATCCTGGTATCCCAAGGAGGAGAGTCTACTGTCTTTTTTATATGTCCAAGGCTTCCTTTCTTCTCATGTTCTCTTCCCCTTACCTCTCTCCTTCCTGCGTAAGAGACTAGGCCCAGGAGATGCTTGGTGGGATGGTCCAAAGGTGAGAAGCAGATGGGCTAGAGGGGCAAGATGGAGTGATTTGGGCCGGAAAGGGGCATAATTAACAACTCCCTGTAGGGAGAGGCAATCCCTGGAACAGGTTACATTAGCAACAGGTTGGATCAGGGGCAGGTTATTTTCATAAGGGTGGAAGAAGGGCTCTGAAGGGATTTTAATCCCTCAGGGGACAGCCTCCAACTTCCTGGACTCACTCAAATTAGCCTCCTTGATGGGACCTAACTTGATTTACCTATCTGTATTGACTGCCTGTCTAATTGTGGCTTCACTAGCAGGCCTGGACAAAGCTAATAGAAACAAAAAAGAGTAAGATGTTGGAAGAGACAAAACTGTCGTTATTGCAAATAGTGTGGATTTACACTTGGAAAAATAAAAAAAATCAATATAAAAATTATTAGAATGAGTAAAATTGATGTAGCATGGTTACTGGATGTATGATTAATTTTAAAAATCAAAATTATTTCTCCATATCAAAAAATAATCAGAAAATATTACAAAATTTAAGATATTATTTGCAATTATAACAAATACATAAGGTGTTTGAGATTAATTTAACAAACAGCACACAAGTCTTCCATGGAGCATACTTTTAGACTCTAATACTGGGGACAGAAGATAATTGGAATAAATGAAAATAAATTCTATGTGCTTGGATAGGACAATGTGATTTTTTTTTTAGTTGTAGAAGGACACAATACCTTTATTTTATTTATTTGTTTATTTTTGGGGGGTGCTGAGGAGCAAACCCAGTGCTTCACACATGCTAGGGAAGCACTCTACCAATGAGCTACAACTGCAGCTCCACAGGACAATGTAATTTTAAATAAATAAAAATTTCCCCTAAATAAACCTATGTTTAAGGCAACTCCAACTAAAATAACAGATTTTTTTTTAGAAACTTAGTAAGTTTATGCTAATGTTCACATGAAAGCATATATATCCAATAGACTATAGAATATCATACTGCAGTTATTATGGTTTGGATATGAGATGTCCAAAAAAACTCATGCAGTAGACAATGCAGGAATGTTCAGAGATAAAAATGATCAGATTATGAAAGACATAATCTAATCATGCCACTTGATGGATTGGTGATTTGAATATATTATTGGGTGTTAATTGTAGGAAGAGAGGCATGGCTGTAGGGTGTGCCCTTGAGGATTATATTTTATCCTGGTTCCTCACTTGCAGCCATGGGCTGAGTAGCTTTCCTTCCTGGTTCTCTTCTGCCATGATATTCTGCCTCACTTGCAGCCCAGAGCTGTGCAATCCCTTGACCATGAACTGAACCTCTGAAACTGTGAACCCAAAATTAAACTCTCCTCCACTAAGTTATTCTTGTCAAGTATTTTGGTCACAGAGAGGAACAACTGACTAACAGCAATGAAAAATTACAGACATTAAACAAAATGGATTACTTCAAAAATAAAATGTTGAGGGCTGGGGATGTAGCTCAGTAGCAGAACACTTACCTGGCAAATGTGAGGTTCTGGATTTGATCCCTAGCAGCACAAAAAATAAACAAATAAATAAATAAACAAACAATAAATTATGTTGAGCTCATTCGTATAATGGTATAATTCCATCTATATGAAGTTTAAAATAGTAACCAAACCAAACCAAACTAATAACCTTGGCCCTTTGTGGGACAAAGAGGAGGTTATATTTGGGAAAGAATGCTGGAGTATCAATAATATATACAGTTGGGTTTTTTTTAAATAATAATTTGTGAAACTGTATTTTTGTTTTGTGTGTATATTACATCTTAAAATGCAAATTTTGGTCTCAGGTGAGGGGCTGTGGGCGCGGAGAGCGGGTGGCCGAGGCTTGGCGGGTGGGAGGGTCCCTCCTGGAGGGTTTGTGGAGTGAGCCGGCCGCACAGGGGCGGTTGTGATCGCGTCCCCTCCGGTGGGCGGGAGGGAATGGAGGACCGTGGGTAGTTGTCGCGGAGGTGTTCTGGGTGCTCGGAGGCCCTCGTAGGAGACAGTGACCCAGGAGTCGTCGAGCTCGGGAAGCTTGGGGGTGTGGAGAGGAGAAGCCCGTCCTCAACCAACGCCCAGCGCTGGGCGGCTCCGATGCTGGGCTGCAGAAGTTCTCTGTATGGTGGGTGGGTTGCGGGTGGTCTTTTTCCTCGGCCCGTCGTCGTGCACGCGAGGAGGTGAAAGGGGAGCGGCCTCCGGGCATCTCTTCAGCTCCCTTGTGACCTTCCCTGTAGGGGTGCCCTGCAATCCTGTAGGAATAGGAGACGCTGGCAGAGCCTTGCGTTCAGGACAGCAATGATGATACTGAAGATGTTTCATTGTTTGATGCAGAAGAAGAGACAACTAATAGACCAAGAAAATCCAAAATCCGTCATCCAGTGGCATCATTTTTCCATTTGTTCTTCCGAGTCAGTGCCATTATAGTCTATCTTCTCTGTGAATTGCTCAGCAGCAGTTTTATTGCCTGTATGGTGACAATTATCTTATTGTTGTCATGTGACTTTTGGGCAGTGAAGAATGTCACAGGTAGACTGATGGTAGGCCTTCGGTGGTGGAATCATATTGATGAGGATGGAAAGAGTCATTGGGTGTTTGAGTCCAGGAAGGCATCTCCTCAGGAGAATAAAACTGTTTCAGAAGCTGAATCAAGAATCTTTTGGTTAGGACTAATTGCCTGTCCAGTACTGTGGGTGATATTTGCCTTTAGTGCTCTCTTCTCCTTCAGAGTAAAATGGTTGGCTGTGGTTATCATGGGTGTGGTACTACAGGGTGCCAACCTGTATGGTTACATCAGGTGCAAAGTGGGCAGCCGGAAGAATTTAACCAGCATGGCTACCTCGTATCTCGGAAAGCAGTTTTTAAAACAAAACACCGGAAATGAACAGACTTCTTGAATAGAGAGAAAATTATGTTTTCTGTGATATTGGGGACTGGCCGAAGAGATTCTTGATTATGAACTGTTTAGACCTCAGTCCGGTTGCAAAGAGGAGCATTGGGTTTTTTTGTTTGTTTTCACTTACAAAGTTACTATGAAAACTGTTTTCCTTTTTTAAAGAAAGTTTTTGTTTTTATTTTTTTTTCTAATAGTTGAGGCTGGGAAATATGATATCATTAAGAACATTGTCAGAATTTATTTTATGGTGTACATATGTATGCATATAGTAATGTATCCGTATATCCCAAATTAATGTGTTAGTTTACATATGTTACAGAGATATTTGTATTTTGATCCATAGAAAATAGAATGTTCTTAGTCAAAGGTGTCTAAGTTATTTTCGGAAATAAGTTGATTCCATGATTAAGAGTAAACACTTGGCTTGTGTATGAGTTAAAATGTAGAAAAGATTGTTAATTTTAAAAATATACTTCATGCTGAAATTGCTTACCTTAGACATGCACAAGTGAAAACAAAATTCAGGCTGGTAGTATTAACTAGTTTCTAAAATTTCTTTTATTTTTTTACTTAAGGCCTAAATAATAAAAGGAATCTTTATAGTTTATGTTTAAGGGATACCCAAGGGATTGCTGCTGTTCTATTTATTTTGTGGAAAGGATGGTCAGATTTTATTTTGGAACTTCCTGGAAACTCTTCAGTGGTCTCTGGACTAATAAAATCTTTTAGTACTAAATGAATATTGTTCTTATGTCTTAGTAAGAATAATCATTTAAATACTTGGCATAATAAATGCCTAAAGACATTATATGAATCTATTTTTTCTTGCTATAATGGGGATATTGTAAATCATACATTTGTATTAATAATATTTCTTAAACAAGGCAATATATTTAACTGTAAAGTAAACCAATCTGCAAATTATTGTAGGCAGTTGTAAATTCTGTTGTAGGTACTAGAAACTTTGTTGGAGTCTTTTAATCAGCAGATTATGTAGTGAGTGTATTTGTACATTGTTAAAATATTTTTAAAGATATTTTGTTTTAGTTGAATAAATGTGTGTTGGAGTGATAGCTTGGAAGGTGCACAACTTTATATTTGTATAAAACTATTGTTTACAAAGCAAAAAAAATAAAATAAAATAAAATGCAAATTTTATTTTTTGGCAATTTTCCAATAAATCCATTTTTTAAAGTTTTAATTTTGATAAAAGAGAATAAAATGGACCATTTTCCATACCAGATAACATGACATAGTACAGAGCTATAGTAGCTTTTAACATTAAGGAAGGAGAGAGACTGCTTATAAATAGTGGAGAAATGCTACCCCAAATGGAGAATTATAAAACTGATGCACAGGTAAATGTGGACTCCAGGTGGACTGAAGACCTAACTGGAAAAGATAAAAACCATAAGGTTGTAAAAGAAAATCTAAATAAAAGTGGGGAAAGATTTATTCAAACTTTAAAAGCACTAATGAGGCAAAGTATTGATAAATTTGTTTACAAAACAATAAGGATTTCTACTTTAAAAAAAAATAACACAATGGAACCCATTAATGGACCCAAAAAAGATGAGGAGAAGATAACGTCAATACTAAGTCCAACAAGGAATTAGCCTAGAGTCTTCAAGGAGCACCTGCAAATGAAGAGGAGGATGAAGGACTCCCAGGAGGTGTGTCATCCCAGCTACTTGGGAAATTGATGATGGCTTGAGCCCAGGAGTTCAAGGCCAACTTGAGTAGCATAGCTGGACCCTGTCTCTAACAATAGAAGGAAGAAAGAAATCCTAGTAGAACCATGGGCAAAAATTTGAATAGCCAATTTACAACACGGAAACCTAAAAGGCTAACAAATGTATAAAGAGCTGTTTGAATTTGTTAATAATAAACCCCTTCAGCCCACACTTGAATCTAATGGTACACGCTAATGATAAGAAGTACAGTAGGAACCCTAGTTAGGCTGCTCACCAGAAAGATCAAATGATTAGAGAACTGGAACTTTCTTTCACTTCCGGGGAGTGGAAGGGATGCTAGAGAATAAACTCTATAAAAATTGATTAAGGAGAGTTGGAGAACTTCCGGGTTCATGGAGATATTAAGGTACTGGGAGTCTAGTGGGTCCCAAGGGGACAAAACATTCCATATCCCTCCTCCACGTGTCTGCCCTATGTATCTCTTCCATTTATTTGTTCCTAGTTGTATTCTTTATAATAAGCCAGTAGACATCAGTAAAGTATTTTCCTGAGTTCTGTGAGCTATTCTAGCACACTATCAACCTGTGGATGGTTGTGGGAATCCCTCATTTATGGCTAGTTAGGCAGAAATATAAGATCCAGATCTTGCTACTGGTATCTAAAGTGAGGCAGTCTTGTAGTACTGAGACCTTGAACTTGTGGAACCTGATGAGAATTCCAGGTGGAGTCAGAATGGAATTAAATTGTTGGACTTCCAATTGGTGTGGAGGATCTCAGACCTACTTATTCATATTATGTAATATTCTTTAGCAGCTTAATAATTGAATGGAAAATGAATTGGAAGGATATGTAACAGAAATACAATAAAAAACCCACAAATGGACCCATATAAGTATATTCAACTGATCCTTGACAAAGGAACAGAGGCAATATGATGGAGTGTAATGGTTAATTTGAATTGTCAACTTGATTAGATTAAGAGATGGCACAGATTAAGAAGATTATGGATGGTCAGTGGTGGTGTGTCTAGGAATGATTGACATGTGGGATAGCCAACTGAAATGGAGACCCTCCCTAAGCATAGGCAGCACTGACCAGTAGAATGATGGCTTGGATAGAATAAAAGTTGGAAGAACAAGGAAGCAGCAGCAGATGCAAACTTTATTCTTCTTGAAGGGGGTTCTTGATTGCTGTGGCGATAGTCTGAGGACTCTCACTTATTCACTCTTTCAAAGTGGACTCTGCTAGTGATTCTCAGAAGTCATTGGTGTCAGACTAGGGTAGCACCATTGTTCCCTCTTTTTTCTAAGGCTTCAGCCTCTTGGACTGCACAGCTACTGGTTTTTCCAGCTCTCCAGCCTGCAGATGGCCACTGTGGACTATCCAGCTTCTGGTCCCATAAGCCAACCTGATAAATCCCCTCTTTATAATTATAGTTCCTGTTGATTCTGTTCCTCTAGAGAACCCTAAGCCATGGAGTTAGGGTAAATCTGCACTTCAGCACCTGAACATCTACATGAAAAAAAAAATGAATCTAGACACAGACCTGACACCCTTCACAAAAGTTAACTCAAAATGGGCCAGAGATCTAAATGTAAAATTCAAAATTATAAAACTCTTAGAAGATGACTAGGAGAAAACAGATGATGGCATTGTCACTTCAGATAAAAAACTCAAGATACAATCCATTAAAGAAGTCATCCATAAGCCGGACTTTGTTAACATTAAGTACTTCTGCTTTCCAAAAAACAATATGAAGAATGAGAAGGCAATCTGAGACCTGTGAAACACAATGCTGAATTATAAAAGCAAATTGCAGCACATTACTGACAATAATATATTATTAATGTAAAATTTTTAGGAGTAAAGGAGTGCCGTATTTTTGAGATTATAATAATAATTAGAGCTTGTCTGGGGCTCCTTATGTAGAACCAATTATTCTGCATGCTCTTTATAAGGTCATTGATTAATTCACCCACCGTGTAAGGAAAGCACTATTTTTATTCTCTGTAGCAAATATGAGAATATACCACTCATATCTGCTGCTGGGTGTGTGGTTGACTGATCAACCCAGCTGTTGTGCTCAGAACCCAGCACCTCATTTACTCTGAAGTCACACATCCCACATGCTGTTCTCAGCTGGTGTGTGACTATGGCAGGGATCTAAAGGCAGGACTCTTCTATGATAAGGGAACTAATCTGATGTGTGACTTTGCCCAGTTAGAACATCCTCAGAACTGCTGCAGTCTGAAACTGTGGCTCTCCAACACCTCTTCCTCCTCTCTTGCTTCAGAGGGTCAGAACAACTCCACAGTCTGACACCTCTTCCCCAATCTACTAGCTCTGTGGTTGGCAGCCTCTGTGATGGTCTCCAAGGATCCATCATCTCCTGGTACTCATATCTTTGTGTAACCTCTTGAGTGCTGACTAGACCTAGGGACCTGCTTCTAGTGAAAAGAATACAACAACGCAACAAAGAGATGGGATTTTACTTCTGAGAGTAAATTACAAAAAACTACAACTTCCATCTTGAACACTCTGTGAGTGTTCTTCTTTGCTATGAGGAAAGCCAGCTGCCATGTTGCAAATTACTCTTTAAAGAGAACCATGTGGAAAGGAACTGAGGAAGGACTCTGGGCAACAACTGGTAATGTCCAAGGCCCTCCTCTGTCAACAGTCCATGAGGTGCTGAGTTCTGACAGCAATCATATAAGTGAAATTGGGTCCCAAAGTCAAGCCTTCAGATGAGACCACAGCCCCGGGTGACATGGTAATTTTAGCTTTCTGAGAAATCTGAAACAGAGGAACCCAATCACATTTTCTTCACATGGGATTGTTGTTGTTGTTTTTTTTGTATTTGTGTGTGTGTGTGTGCATATATTTTACAGTAGAATGCGTTTAGACACATTGTATGCAAATGGAGCACAATTTCTCATTCCTCTGGCTGTACATAGTTCAGAGTCACTCCACTAGTGTGATCATACATGTATATAGGGTAATAATGTCTGTCTCTTTCTACTGTCCTTCTCATCCCCACAACCCCATCCCTCCCCTGAATCCCCCCAGTGTGTGCATTGCTGGACTTGAAATTGGTCACATGTTGACAAAAATGAGATCAGGAGAGGTGACAGGACCATGGAAGAAAGAGGAAAAGGGCAAGTGAGAAAGAGAAAAGCAGCCCTGAACAGATGGGAGCCACCCTGTACCAACAAGGGGGCCTTAGGGTTGATGGCATTTAAGGTAGTCCATAATATTCTCCTGTTGAACATAAATAATCTTAGAGCACCAGTCCTGGATCAGGTCACTCTGTGTCCATGACAAAGTGAGACAGAACCAAAGCCACTCTATAATTGTGTCTGAATTTAACAAAAAGCTTTGTGGCCACTGGAAAAATCAAAAAAATGATCAAATGTCCTCTCTCCCAGCAGAGTAACTGCTGGTTCTTTACCAATTGAAACTTTAGTCCCTCTTCATTTCTCCTACCTTCTAGATAAAAATTATTAAAGACACTCAATCATAGAATGCTCTGCTTCTTATAGCACAAAACAATACCAGGCACCTGTTTTCTGAAAGCCTTCCTCACAAGGCCCAAAACAAGCTGAATTCCTTGAGAGATATCCTTCTATCTCTTTATTTATGAGATTTCCCCATAATGCTCTGTGATACGTGGTATCCCTATTTGCAATGAAGTGAACCAATAAACCCATATAATCAGAATGTATCAATCAGATTACAGAACTTCCATATATTTATTTTTATGTATTTATATTATTTTATGTATGTGACAGGAAGATCAGTAAACTAAAGGAAGGAGCACAGAGGGAGGAGGGGGAGGGAAAAAATGGGGAACATGAACTAAAATCAAATTCCATGCACGTAGGATTTTTTTCAAGATAAACTCAACTACTGTGTAAAACTGTAATACTCTGCAAAAAAAAAAAAAGTCATTAAGAAAAACCAAAACACCTTGTTTTAAATTTCTTAGAAAAAAATGGAATCCACTACTTTTTAAAGAATTTTAGAATGGTCAAAGTAGATGTTCCATTGCTTCCAAGTCTTTCTTGGGCCTGATAACTAAAGCTCATGGGTTTGCATCTATGTGTCTTTATTACAT